TCGTTGCCAAAGACGATGGTGTTCACCGTTGGAACAATGACAAGAATCTTTGGGACAGGATTCCTAGATTAATTTTTTATTAAAAAAAAAACTATTTAAGTAAAATTTTATTATTGATTATTCTAAAATAAATATTTCAATTCAGATGTTATGTTTTCGTCTAGTACGTACTTATTGTTCACATTTGAATAAAGCTACAATGTACATTATTAATATTGGTCACCATCTTCCTCCTGCAACTGAGAAGCATACTGTAAATTCCACAAAATATCTTCGAACGACGGTCGGCTTAACGATTCCGGCGAAACACATTTGTTCATAAGAGTTATCACTCTTATCAAAGATCCGTTCCGACATGTAGCTTGTACCGTCGGATTCACCATTCTTCTCCTTCCTTCCTCGCTCTCCAACGAAGCCTAGACAAAAAAAAAAAATAAAGATCACACAACTTTTTTATTAAGTACAAAGAATTCAAGTCTGTTTTTTCTTTATAGTGATCGATCTTGAGAAAACCGTACCAATTCATCCCGGAGAAATGCTTCTTCTCTTGCGGAAACAGATGGTCCAACGATCGATTGTAGAATAATTAATCCGAAACTGTATACATCGTCTTCTAGTCTTGACATTTGCCATGATTTTGCGACTTCCTGATAAGAGAGTGATAATTACGTAATGTTAATCATGATATGGTTAAAACGAAAATCGCTAGGCTCAAGAATCAATGTAACGGGCTTAACTGTGTTATGTCTGGTTGCTTCAGAGACAATGGACAAACCATAATCACTCAGCTTTGCAAACCGGTGTTGGTTAAGCAAGACATTGTTAGTCTTGAGTCGATTGCTAAAGAAACCAGGAATAACTCCAGTGTGAAGATAATGAACAGCCTTTGCAACACCTGTAAGAACATTCAGCCTCTCTGACCAATTCATAGCCTTACCCCAGCTATCATCTGCACAACACAAAAAGTTTCTAAGTATTCTACAGAAATCTCGAATCTTTTTTTGTCAAACAACAAAGATTTGAGCTTTTTAAACAAGATTTTAAAACCTGAGAGACAAGATTGGAAGTTTCCATTTGGAATGAATTCATAAATCAAAAAGACTTTTTCGACGCTGTAGTCATCTTTTCCTCCACAGTCTATGCAATGACCCAACAAGCAAACGAGATTCGGGTGTCTAAGCTTGGCGAGCAAATCCAAACGCAGTTTTAGATTCCTTATTGAGTATTTCTTCGATGAAGGCAAACACCTTATAGCCACTTTTGTTCCATTCTCAAGATTTCCTTTGTAAAGCTGAAAGGTATATAAGCAAGTCTTCAGAATCTAAAAAAAGAAGTTTGTATGATAATTCTGAAAACACAAATGATTCTGATGAACTTTACCGTGCCATATAATGAGCTTTCACCGAGAATCGCAGTTTTGTCGAAGTTCTTTGTAGCTTTAGCTATCTCTTCTAATGTAAACTGTCTACATACTGGTAAGTCCTCTGAACCAAACTTGGATGTTTCAGAAATGTACCCTAATCACAATCACAAACAAAAAAAGAACTGTAAGTCAATGTTCTTCACAAATATCTGAGAGTTACTGTATTTTTGGGGAGGGGAATGAAAGCTTACTTGCATTTGAGAGTATCTCAGAGGAAAATCCAATTGATGGACGATTATCTTGAACTGTCTTATGGCTCAAACGGTTCTTTGTGACTCCTTTTCTTCTAAGCAAGATGAACACGCCGCATATTAGAACCAATATCGCCATTGATATACCAACGATCATACCGACCAAAGCTCCTTTCTTGACTTTGCTTCGTCCTGATCCATTTGCAGCCTCTGCTTCAGCTTTGTCTTCGGCGGTTTTCGCAGCGCGAACTTGTTTAACACAAAAGGATTCTGGATGCTGCTGTTTCTCCAGAGACAAGCAGTTCCCACTGAATCTCACCGACAGGTCTTGCTTGTTTCTTAAGCAAGATGGGAGTTTTCCGGTTAGCTTGTTGTCGGAAATGTCGACAAACCAGAGTTTGCTTCCGCATTTCAGATCATCCGGAAGTGAACCACTCAGAGAATTCGACCTCAAATCGATGTACTCGATTGTCGACGACGAGAGTAGTGAAGGATGTAGCTCTTCGAATAGCTTATTGCTCTTAAAGCTAAGAACTTTGAGACTCGAGAAGGAATCAAACCAGCTAGGTAATGTGCCATTGAAGAAGTTATGATCAAATCTTAAAGTCTCTAGCTTTACCATTGTAGACAGCTTTGGTGGTACTGATCCAAACAGAAAGTTATTGCTCATATCCAAATACTCAAGTGAAGACAACCGATGAAGTTTCTCAGGGAGGTGACCCCAAATCCCTAGAGAAGCCAAAGTAAGAACCCTAAGGGATTTTAGCCTTGCCAGTGTAGTGACAAATGACTCGATTGAGAATCTATCAGATAAAGTAACGTTAGGGATAGCAAAACCCTCGAAGCTTTTGGCTCTTTCTGATGATTTATCTCCGAAGATGCTTAGCTCTGAGACGGAATTCGAGAAACAGGTGATGTTCATCAAAGGTGATGGCTGTAAAAAGCAGAAACTGGTCTTGTGATCATACCAAGATTCGAGCTGTTTTGGGTATTCTAAGTGTTTTTTCAGCTGGAGAAGGACTTGTGCCTGTGAAGCTTGTAGCTGAGATGAGCCAAAACTGTAGAAACTCCATAAAAGAGACAAGAAGAAGATGAATTTAAAGAAACCCATTTTGTCAGCTCTCAGATTAATAATTCAGACAAGATCTGAGTATTTGATGAACCTGCAATAAAACAGAGACACAGAAAAGACGTTGTGATTGATCAAAACCCAATAGTACAAAACCAAAAACAATTTATTACAAAGAAAAACAGAGTAATCTTGAGAACTGAACTGAACTTATTAGTACCTTCAACTTCAAAAGTTTCAAAAGCTTCTAATTTTTTTTTTTTTTCTTACAGTAAAGACTGGAACATCTCGTTAAATCAGAGGAAAGGAGAACAGATTCTTTCAGTCACCGACACATATTAGTGATGTGTAATTAGAAGAAAAAGGCAAGGCAAGGATCTTCAACGCGTGAAAGAAAGGAAATTTTTTTTTTTTTTTTTAATTTTTGTTCAGAGTTTGTTAGTGAGAACTGAGAATGGGCAAGTGAGAGAGTAGCAGCAGTAGTTATATTATATAGAAGAATCTTTCTTTTCAATACGCATGAGTTAAATTTGGTGGGGTTACACAGATCACTACTCATACGTAATGAAAGTGACTTTATTTTAATTATTAGTGTAAAATAAAAAACTATACTAAAAGCCAAAGCTTTCTGCATAATGTATACAATTATTAAACAAGTGTACTTATATAATAGTGATTTTTTTTCATATTCGATATCGATATGTACATTATTGTTTGGACGTTTAGAACATAAGCTTTTGTTCTTGTAGTTATATAAATGGGAGCAACCGATTCCGGAAGAAACCAAATGAGAAGATGTTAAATGTGGCTGGATATATCAAAATAGTCGTCATATGTAGTTCATTAACAATGACATATATAATTAATATGATCTATCCTATTCTCTTTTAAAACAATAGAAATATATAATACAATGAATTTGACTCTGATGTATCAAACAAATAATAAAACATCCGAATAATGAAAAGAGTATAAATATTTATACTCCATAGAATTTAAGCAGAATAATCACAAAACTTAAAGAAGAAGAAGATGGTTTTTAGTCAATTAAGTGACATTTTGGTTTTAAGTTTGAAATGGTGGGTGAAGTTATAAATGCTGATGGTTGAGGAGGCCTGGGGAATTGAGTTTTTTTGTTTGTTTGCTACACATTTGCTCTCAACTCATTATTAACTCACAGCCTGTCCTTCTAATTCGAGTGTTTAAAAGTCAAACATGTGTACCTTGTTGACTCTTCTATTCACACTTTTACATTATTAGAACTCTAACGATGATAACTAATCGAATTATGATGAATCCTTGATTTATAAATCAGTAAAATTACAGCAATGTAGATGTACTTTGATACGACTGATGTGCTATTACTGTATTAATTTAATAACGTAACGGGGACCTCTTCTTTAATCAGATTTTCAATTAATGTATTTAGGATAGAATAGCTTTTTGTACATTTATTTTTATACCATATTTATTATATATTGTGGGGATAATAAGGAACAAATATAATCAACGTCGTTCTCATAATTTAATCAAATACGTATATATATACCAGAAAATGATGGCATTGGTTTGCCTATGTATGAGGTAGATGTGATAGCTACTAAAGCTTGCTGTCACTGATTTTTCATAATTTAATAAGTGTATTCCTTTTTCCTGGGCGAATAATTCATTGTTTTTTTTTTTTTTTTTTTTTTTGAGAACAACGAATAATTCATTGTTAGTCTCTATTTTCATTTATGTTTACTACTACTCCAGTTTTGAAGTATATTATTATCATTTTATGATTCCGTTTAAATTTAATAAAGCAAAACTAATGCTGACTTTGTCAAGTTAGTGGTCCAATCTTTTTTATCTCTCAACCCATGTGTAGAAAGAACAATCAAACTTTTTAGTTGATGAAAGGAAATTTGTAATGATATGTTCTTCAGAGAATGTGAAGATCGACTTCGAGTCAAATTAATTTTTTTTTATTTTCATATAGTTTCTAGTCAAACATGTGTTGACTTCGACCATTAATGCCAGTGTGATCATTTGGAGACGTTTGCTAGCTTATACAGACACCGGTATAGAACAACACACTTGCCTGAATCACATTTTATTAGCAAGTTCTATAGCTGGCATTGCTTATTCTATACCTAGGCCCATGTTCACCGAAGAATGGGCTTACTCTGAATTTAGTGAACATGGGCCTGAGCCGGGATTCAAATAGAAAGCCTACGTTATGTAAATGGGCTTACTCTGAAATTTCACTCGTCCAAGGCAGCGAAGTATTATGTATTTTGCTCCCTGTAACTTGCAATGCGAAGATGGAGTGTGTCCCAAGATGGAGAGTCAACTGGTCACTCTTTTCTTGTAAAGTGTTATGAATAGAAAACAATTCAAACACTAGTCACGAACAATCTTAGCAGTCCCCTTGAACAAGCAACACATAGTAAAATAGGCTAAATCAACAATCTTTCCCAAAAATATATGTTCCAATTGTGCAACTTTCTTCGACAACAAACATATAACAGACAAGGAAGTTCCAATCCTATTGGCGTGTCGGTGATGCTCATGAACAATCAAAAAAAGAGTTGGCATGTGGGTGATCCTCGTGAACAATCTGACAACTCCTTGCGCATCTCAAGTCTGAAAATAGAAGTTCCAACCAACGAGAACCTTGCAGTCTCTAGGCGAGAAGCGTTTTCCAAGACGTAAACCGCAGCATCTCTCTCTTCTGGTTTTCCCGTGTATGCAACCCAGATGAAAGTTTGTAGTGTCGACACAAGACATTGAGGAACTCTACTCGGTTGAGTCCAGCGAATTGTTATAGCCTCACCCTCACGAAACTGAGACGGAGCAGAATAATTGAATCAAAACCACACTCTGCATTAGACCAAATATAACTGTTTATCAAAACAAACTTACTCGGTTTCTATGGATTTCAAGACTTTGTAAGTTAGGAGAATCTTGGAGCAAGCGAGCAAGCAGGTTAGACGACCACACTGTGCAACGACTTAGCTCCAAATCTTCAAGCTGGTGGAAGACTAAACCGTTGCCATACAGTGACGACTGCACACGATGAAAAAGGAAGGATCTTATAAACGAGACCCCAAGAGTTGTAGTTGATAGATAGAAACTGAGTTACCTGCGAAGATAATGTAAGCCACTTGACAGATGTGATTGATCCAATAAGACTCTTGATGTCAGAGAATCCAACATCTAAATCCGCCTCTTCCAGATTAGGCATATTCGCAACCAAACACGATCCACTCACAGTATCAAGACCCATAAGTCTCAAATACTCCAAAGAGGGGGTATCTATCTCTAACCCATCTAGAAGAAGGTCTCTGCCATAGAGTGTTAAACTCTGTAAAGACGGGACCATGACAATGATCTTCCCCATATCGTGTTCACTATCACCCAAATTCACCGATACATCTTCAAGAACATGGCAGATAGATAGAAGCCGTTGAAGAGACTTTCCATCTAAGTATCTATCAAGCTCAAGAAACCAAAGATTTCAGAGAGCCAAAGAGATGGGAATTGAAATCAGAAGATATCGGAATCGCAGAGGGCTTCCATTTTCTCCGTCGATGATACTCTTACTCACCGTCGATAATACCAAACCGTTTGGCTTCCATTTAATTGGGTTAAAGAATGGTTTAATGTGAATAAAACCCTAATGTTCTAATTTCAAACCGGTCAATAAATAACCGGTTTTCAATCAATTGACAAGTTTTGTGTGTTCGTCGTCTCTACGCTCCATCCGATAAGAAAGAAAGATAGTTTACAGTCAGAGAGATACTTTTCTCATCTCTCTCTCCATTTCCCGCTTCCATCCTTAAACCCCCTCTTGTCTTGGTCACAGAAACCCAATCTCCGTCTAGGGCTTCTTTTTTTCAGTGATGAAACTTGCTGCCTCTTTGCAAGGCTTCTCTTATCCTTCTTCCTCGCATGCTTCCTCTATCTACTTGGATGTTCGCAGACCGCTTACTTCTGCTACCACTCCCTCGAAAATGACGGCTTTTAGTGCTCTGTCTCTTTGCCCTTACACTTTCACCTTCCGGCAAAGCTCTCGAATTAGGCCTACCGTTTCCTGTTCCGTCACTTCTCCTCCTGCCTCTGGTGTGTTGTTTTCCCTCTCTTCTTTTCTCTTCTTCTGGGTTCCTGAAATTTAGCTCCTTTTTTATTGTGGGTTTGAAGTATTTTGAATTGGTACAGAAAAAAAAAAATTGAAACTTTTTGATTCATATGAGTTTCATTTGAGATTCGTTCACATTTATTCATATGGTGCCTATGACTGTCTCCTTCTGGATTGTGTTGATAATTTGACTAGGATATTTGAATCTTGTTGTTTACAAGTGTCACTCTGTGTTATGTTTGTCTCAGGTACATCATCTTCCTCTAAGACACCTCGCAGAAGATCAGGTCGCCTAGAAGGAGCTGGAAAAAGCATGGAGGATTCTGTAAAACGTAAAATGGAGCAGTTTTATGAAGGAACCGATGGACCGCCTCTCCGTGTCCTGCCCATTGGTGGCCTCGGTGAAATTGGAATGAACTGTATGCTTGTTGGAAACTATGATCGTTACATCTTAATAGACGCCGGTGTAATGTTCCCTGAGTAAGTCTAAAGCTAGATATATATCTTGTTAATATTGGCGACAAGTCATTTTTTCTTTGTGTGTGTGGTGTTGACTTTTGTTTGGAAAACTTTGCTGTGTAATGTTACAGTTATGATGAGCCTGGGGTCCAAAAGATTATGCCAGACACGGGATTTATCAGACGATGGAAACACAAAATTGAAGCTGTTGTTATAACGCATGGTCATGAAGATCACATTGGTGCGTTGCCTTGGGTAAAGTCTTCTTCCACTCCTTGAAAAAATGCCATAATCACCCATATAGACCTTTTGAGTATAATCTACTTCTTGTCTTTTATTTAACCAAATTTTCTTTCACATGAGCAGGTTATCCCAGCATTGGACTCTAATACACCGATATTCGCATCATCCTTCACCATGGAGGTGATTTACACCCTGATCCTTGATATTTTTTTTCTCTGTCTCTAGTTTTTATAACAGCTTCGACGCTTAGATGTATAGTTTCGCTTCAAAATGTATATACTCCAGCTTGTGTTCTTATCCGTCAGAATTGTCATGTTCAGGCAGTTAGTTTCGTAGCTCATATCATGCCTAATCTTCTCTTTGCATTTTAGCTCATGGATGTTTTTTTTTTTTGGTTTCTATGCAATAGCTTATAAAGAAGCGCTTGAAGGAGCACGGGATCTTCGTTCAGTCTAGACTTAAGACATTTAGCACTCGAAGGAGATTCATGGCTGGACCATTTGAAATAGAGCCCATTACGGTGACCCATTCTATTCCTGATTGTAGCGGTTTAGTCCTCCGTTGCGCTGATGGCAATATTCTTCACACTGGAGATTGGAAGGTAGAGTAACCCGCTCATATATTGTTTCATGTCCCTTTGTATAGTCCTCAAGCTGCATGAGATAAGTTGATTAATAACAGATTGATGAAGCACCATTGGATGGAAAAGTCTTTGATCGTGAAGCTTTAGAGGAACTCTCAAAGGAAGGAGTCACGCTGGTAAGGATTCAGTGCAGAGTCGTACCCTTGTTTTATGTGTTGAAATCGTTATACCGACTACTACTTTAGGTGATAATTTTCCATGTCGTACACAGATGATGAGTGACTCAACAAATGTATTGTCACCGGGAAGGACAACTAGTGAAAAGGTGGTAGCAGATGCTCTGGCAAGGAATGTAATGGCGGCCAAGGGAAGAGTCATCACAACTCAGTTTGCCTCCAATATACACCGTCTGGGAAGTATTAAAGCTGCTGCCGATTTAACTGGTCGAAAATTGGTATGTCTTCCCTCTCATGTTTAGCTTATATTTATTCCATCACAATTCCTTAAATTACGCTGCAACAAGTTTCATTACAGAAGTTAAAAGTACACAATTTCATATTTGTTTGTTTGTTTTAAATCTAGGTATTTGTTGGCATGTCCCTGAGGACATATCTAGAAGCAGCTTGGAAGGATGGGAAGGCTCCCATTGACCCGTCAAGTCTGGTAATAAGACCTTTCTCTTTGATTGTCTCTTGTATTATGGATTTGAAGAGATACTTACGTGTACAAGCCATTAATGATGCTTACAGTTCGTTTTGAGATACAGAGATGGCCAACACAAATTCTATTTTCTAATTTTCGTTTATAAAAAAACCCTTCTCAGGTGAAAGTGGAAGACATTGAAGCATATGCTCCTAAGGACTTGCTGATTGTCACGACTGGATCACAAGTAAGTTGATCTCGTAAAATTGGGGAGTAGTGGTTATAACTCGACTGTCCTAGTGAAATTTACTTATATGACAATGACTCTGATCAGGCAGAACCACGTGCCGCCCTGAATCTTGCATCATATGGAAGTAGTCACGCGTTCAAACTGACCAAGGAAGACATAATTCTTTACTCAGCCAAGGTAGTAGAGAGGTGTTATATGAAAATGTACATACATATGCTAAAGAGCATCTAGTAAGATGGAAGATGGGATCGCTGACATATATTCTCGTGTTACTGTCTTACTATTTAAGGTAATCCCAGGCAATGAATCACGAGTAATGAAAATGATGAATCGGATAGCAGATATCGGGCCAAATATTATCATGGGTAAAAATGAAATGCTGCACACATCTGGCCATGCCTACCGTGGAGAATTGGTAAGCGGCTGCTTCTCTCATGATTCTGTTGATATAATCAAGTTTTGTAGCCAGCTTGATGAGTGTCTAGGGAAAATGGTTGTTCCTTCTAATGATGGTTTTTTAAATTAAACGTGTTTTGAAGGAAGAGGTTCTTAAAATAGTGAAACCGCAGCATTTTCTACCCATTCATGGAGAACTCTTGTTTCTTAAGGAGCATGAGTTGCTCGGGAAGTCTACTGGGATTCGACACACTACTGTAAGTCTCTCACCATAGATTTATGAAATCATGCAATTTCCGTTATGTGTTTGATGAAATAGATTTATGAAATCATGCAATCACCATAAATTTATGAAATCATGCAATTTCAGTCTCTCACCACACACACACTTATGAGATTAACCCATGTATTGAACCTAGAAACTTTTGCTGAATGTTTTTACTTGCGCCAACCTCAGGTTATAAAGAACGGAGAGATGCTTGGAGTTTCTCACTTGAGAAATAGAAGGGTTTTGTCCAATGGATTTAGCTCTCTTGGGAGGGAGAATTTGCAGGTTGGTTTATTATCGCCGTTGTATTACCTGTTTGTCTTTGTTTAGATACTGAATAAATCTAGCCTTGCTGCAGTTAATGTATAGCGATGGTGATAAAGCATTTGGCACATCAAGTGAACTCTGCATTGATGAGAGACTCAGAATTGCGTCTGATGGCATTATAGTTCTGAGGTATGTCCAAATTATTATATTCATCTTTGATAAAAAAAAACTTCTGCGCCAATGGATTATCTTATCGCTCTTTCTTAGTAATACTCTTTTCCTTGTATGGTTTTCTATAACGCAGCATGGAAATCATGCGGCCGGGCGTCTCGGAAAACGCTTTGAAAGGAAAAATAAGGATCACGACGCGGTGTATGTGGCTTGACAAAGGAAGACTTTTAGATGCACTTCACAAAGCAGCACATGCTGCTCTATCAAGCTGTCCTGTGAACTGTCCCTTGTCTCACATGGAAAGAACAGTCTCCGAAGTCCTGAGGAAGATTGTGAGGAAGTACAGTGGTAAAAGGCCTGAAGTCATTGCCATAGCCACTGAAAATCCCATGGCGGTACGTGCGGATGAGGTCAGCGCGAGGCTGTCCGGTGATCCAAGTCTTGGCTCTGGAGTTGCAGCTTTAAGGAGAGTTGTGGAAGGAAACAACAAAAGAAATCGACCGAAGAAAGAACCTTCACAAGAAGATCCCCCAAAAGAAGTAGATCGCTCTTTGGAAGGTCTCGTCTCACACACCCACACACACGTATGCAGATGTATTTCGATCAGTAACCTAACATGCTTCTCACTAATGCAGATGATCTTCTGGATAGTGCAAGACTACTGGCTGGTGAAGAAACTTCGGCTTCTTCATACACAGAAGATGCTGATGACGTGCCTGTTCGGAGTTCTTCAGAAGAATCGGATGATTTTTGGAAATCATTCATCAATCCATCATCGGCGGCACCTTCACCTGGTGAGACCGAGAACCTGAATAAGGTAAACGATGCAGAGCCTGAAACAGAAGATGATCCATCTGATGCTCAAACCAAGTCAGCACCAAAACGTGTGAGGAGGAACAAGTGGAAACCTGAGGAAGTGAAGAAGGTGATCAGAATGCGTGGAGAGCTGCACAGCAGGTTTCAGGTGGTGAAAGGTAGAATGGCTTTGTGGGAAGAGATCTCTTCGAATCTATCGGCTGAAGGAATCAATCGAAGCCCAGGACAGTGCAAATCTCTGTGGGCGTCTCTTATTCAGAAATACGAGGTTCGTCTCTTAAAAAACTAAACACATATGAATCCGTAGCTGTTGGTTTATGATGCTCATGTTTACAAGTTCAGAAGCTCTAAATCTTTGCAGGAGTGCAAGGCTGATGAAAGAAGCAAGACGAGCTGGTCACATTTTGAGGACATGAACAACATTTTGTCTGAGATAGACACAGCTGCATCTAAGTAATGTGATTACATCGCACATTATCTGGCGAAAAGAATCATCTCCCTCCAAATTAGTGAAATTGAACAGAGGCATTCATTATGTTATAGATTATATGTAACATGTAAGATAATTTTTTTCTTCTGTAGAAGCCATTAAAGCCAAACTGCTAAGGAAGAAGAAAAGCCTTGCAGTCATTTTGGATCGCTTGTATTGGTTTGGTTTTAGATCGGTTTAGATCCGATTTGGTTCAAAAAAACACATGAGTAAACCGGATTTTGTTTTATCTTTCAATCCTCCGTTTGTTTCAAATACAGTACACAAAAGGATTTGGTTTTGGTTATGGTTAGATTGAACCGGAGAATCTTATATTCAACCAAACCAAATTAGACTGACGGTTTCACCCATCGTGCGCCACCGTGGATCGCCGCCGTGAGGTAGTGGCCAGCTTCCGTTTGAAAAGGTTTAGGAAATTTATCAGAAAATTACTTTAAAAACAAAAAATAAAAGAGAGAGAGAGAGAGATTACAAAGTGAAGGGCTGAGTTTCCGACAAATTCCTGGGATCGCTGAAGAGAAGAGAGAAGAGAGATGCCGAAGAGAACGACGCATACGTATTCGAGCGAGGACGCGGCGCCGGACGGACCCGACTCTGATCTCTTCGTGTACTACTGCAAGCACTGTGGTTCTCATGTCCTTATCACTGGTTCGTTTCTCCAGTTCCACCTTACTTCCTTTACCTTTTTGAAACTCGAGTTAAACACTACTTGTTCGCTTTGAATTGGGGTTATGTGGGATGTTTTGCAAGGTTGCTTCTTTGGGTTTTCAGATACATTGAGTGAGATTGAGGATTGAAAAGATTCGGTCTTTGATTACTCTGAACATTAGGCAATGGTAGTTTGCAGACAACTTCTTGCTGATATAATGCTTGAGCTTATAGGTTAACAACAAAGTACTTTTAGGTCCAAGCACACATTTTTCATGTCTTCGAGTTAGAGTCTGGGGTGTTTTTTCTCAGGGTACAAAATCTGTTAATGTTCATATTTGTTTACAAACTAAAAGTTGGAATTGTTAAGACTTGCAACGCTCCCTGTGGCCTTCTTTTGGCAGTTTTTTGCATGTTTCATGTAATTCTGTGTAGATTTGTTTATGCCCTGAATCTTTCTTATTGTTTTGGTTACTCCTTTGAGATAGTATTTTCAGTGAAAAAGCTAATAAGGTGTAAGTGACGAAACCTCGGAATAAGAGTGTATAACATGCAAAGTTTTGCTGAATGATATATATACGATATCCTTGTATACTAAATTTAATTTGTGACAAGATACCCAGTTGCAGAAGATGCCAAAAAGGAAAACCGACAGATCGAATGTGCTCGACAAGAAGAAGCACCTTGCTAGGTTGAATATCAGCGAGGGAGGAAAAGTATTATTGAAACGGTAAGGTTTGATATAAACCAGTCTTAAGCACCATATTTTGGTTTAACATCGATATTTTGTTAAAGATTCTGTCTTTTATGTTACCAGCGGCGAAGGGAAAATGGAGAGACAGTTTAGAATGAACTGTATCGGTTGTGAGCTTCTCGTGTGTTACCGCGCTGAAGAGAATCTGGAAACAGCGTCTTTCGTTTACATTGTTGATGGAGCACTTAGTGCTGTTGCTGCAGAAACTAACCCACAGGTACAGTTTTGGTTTCTCATTTTCTATGAATTTCTCAATTGCATAATATCAGAAACTAGGGTAATAAATATATGTTATGTGGCGTACAGGACGCACCTGTGCCTCCCTGCATTTCACAAATCAGCGGTGGACTAGTTCAGGTTGCAATAGAAGTGGAAGACCGTGCACAACGTTCAGCGATCACAAGTAAAACAATACTCATATGACACGGAGTCTATATTTTCTTCTACTCTCTTGACATGATGGATCTTAAGTTAAACAATTTGATTCTGCACGTTATCTCTCTGTAGGGGTAAACGCTGATGACGTTCGTGTGACTGTTGCTGCACCAGCAGCTCGTGGGGAAGCTAACAACGAGCTTCTGGAATTCATGGGAAGGGTATGGAAACAATCCTTTATCAAACACTTCTAAAGACTTGTTACAGTCTCTTTACTTTTTGTCTTAACGCAACACGACCTCTGCTCTCTCAGGTGCTTGGTTTAAGGTTGAGCCAGATGACTCTCCAAAGAGGTTGGAATAGCAAATCAAAACTCCTCGTGGTATGTTGATCATTCCTTCAAATTCTCTTGAGAAGCTTATTGGCTTTTCTTAGTTCTAGACTGTGTGGTCCTCTAATAATGAAGACTAGTTGTCACATTGAATAAATTACCCATTTTGGTTTTATATTATTCCGCAAGGCCAGGTGGAGGATTTATCTGCTAGACAAGTGTATGAGAAGCTTCTTGAGGCCGTTGTACCGTAAAACTCTGCGGTTTGTGCGGGTTGGTCATAGAGCTCTCTTCATTGGTGATAGACAGAATTGCTTTCTCTCTGTTTTCATGCTTATGCGACCTCCCTTCATTATTAAAGCTATATTAATTTGGATCAAATACCTCGTTTTTCTTTATTTTTTTCTTGTGTTTGGCCTTTTGGGCAACCAATCCAAATCGTTTCATATCTCGTCTGTTGCGATATATTCATTGTTCATTGCAAAATTTGCACTCACAATAACTCAAGTTTTTGACTTCCAAAGATAGTTCTTGATGAGTAGCCAATTATGGAGGTTTACTTTAATTAAAACGTTTGGTCGTCGACTAAATGCATCTGACAAGGTTGCAAAACGAGAGATAAGTCGACCAAACCCTTTTGTACAAGAAGATTGGTATGACCCATAAGTCCACCATACTCTATAAAATCCGTATCGTTGCTTGGATCATCTTGAGACCTGACAAGGATATATCCTCAGACGGATCCCTTGATCAAGTAAAATAAAAATTTACAAATTATATAGTTCCACTCTAGTATTATAAAGGCAAAAACAATTGTATAATCTTAGAGGAAAAGATAAAAACCTAACTAGAGGGCATTCAAGTTTCCAAGTGCATGATGCTTTCAGTCTTATCGATAAGCTTGAGATCAATGTACGAATTGTCACTAAACCTGTGGGCTGATGTTTCTCTGGTGAAAGGAACCTTTCTCAAATCATTCTTTAGCAGATCATAGTAGAGAATGTAACAAGTGGAACGCGCGGGACTGGGTGCCAAGATCACCTCGCCGCTTTGAGTTGTACCTCGCACCACCCAATGAATGATGTTACCGTTATCGACTAAATCCCTCTGACAAGGCTTCACAACCAGACCTCTCTTGCACCATTTTCCACCATCTTCCAAGACAAATATGTCCACCAAACCCATTGTTACAAGAAGGGTATGATCAAGAATTGTTGGTTTCCCACCATACTCTATAAGCCCCACCTGCTCGTCCACCTCGTGAGGTGCTAATTGGATCATACTCAACTCTTCAGACGCAACGTCAAAACTGACAACGACGTCGCGAGACGTAAAAGTGGAAGCCAGATAGTATATAACTCCATCGATGCACATTCCTTGTCTAGTAGGAAGGTGGGGTTGATCAAACTCGATTTTTTTCCAAAAACCTCCGGCTTCCAGTACCAAGACCCAATACTCCGAGGTTATCCTCTCAGGCTCTTCCGAGTATATCACCGTAGTGCAGACAGCTTTGTATTGATCAAGGACAGGATCGTGTCCGAGAGAGTAGAAGACATCCTTACCAGGTTCTTCCTGAGCAAAGATTTCAGATTTGACGGCGGGTAAGGCTACGCTTTGCCTGGTGGTGGGATTATAGATACACGCCCTTCTGCAAACATTGTATAGAATCAAGCCGCGAAGAACCACCATGTTGTATCCTCCCATCCCTGGCATGGTCAGATCTTGGATGAAAGACTCACCACTATCACTAGACGATGATGAGAATGATATCAGCTCAGACTTTCTGGGCTTGAGGCAGACCTCCATTGAATCACACTTGACGTGGTCCATCAAACTGATGTATAGACGCGGTGGTGGGGACGCGACACTAAGATAAAGGTTGGTAAAATATCGGGAACGGATAAGACAAGACCAGAGCTTTGACACGCACTTGAACCTCATCAGCGATTTAGCAGGCAATCTACTCAGTATCTGCATCTGGACATCCAAAGGAATCTCCAAGCTGTCTCCTCCTCGTCTTCTTTTTAGTCTTCTTCTTCCTCTGATCATCGCCTTTGGATACCTCTTCTTCCATTGAACAGACGTCAAAACCAGAGCAAGAGCCAAACCCATAGCTACTAGTTCACAAGCACTTGTACATAAAAATTCCTACTCCGTAGGAAACTTTGATAAATTTTACTCTTTGTTTTAAAGGAAAGAACCAAAAAATTGGACTATTTTTTAGATCTGAGTAAGAGAGACAGAGGAAGACGATCTAGGGTTTGAATATCTTGCTTGTCAAGATTGCTCCTTTTTTGTTTTTTACTCCATAAAACGGCGCCGTTTGTCTGTGCTGTAAGTAGCTAGTCTGATTAATATGGCATATCTTTGGGCGAAAACAGTTGGGCCTCCATCACGACATAGACAATTTTTGCCTCAAGAAGAAGATGATGCATTTTATCAAATTTGAATACATATTGTGTTACCATCTCAAGTTTAATTTGTGACAAGTACTCTAAATGTTATTTTTGGCTCAATCTTCTAATTATAGTTGAAATGAAGAATGTTTATCAACCTTAATCTTTAAAAAGCATATATATATTTAGAGGGACACAATGTGCTTCTTTGTTGTCAAATAGAAGAAGACTGTATTGAATTAGTAGTCTCAGTTTTTCAAGTCACATTTCGTCTTCTTCTTCCTCTTTTCATCGCCTTGGGGACCTCTTATTCCATTGAATACTCAGAAATCAGAGTTAGATACTTAACCATATCTACTGCTATGTCTAAAGTTGTAATCTCCAACGTTTGCAACAAACAGAGGATCTCTCTCTCTCTCTTCCATCTTTAGAGGGTCATAACGCTTCGAGCCATGATCACATT